CAAAATGTGCACACTCGGCACGTCAACAATATACAAAAAGTTACGCGGTAAAAACTGAACCAATCAAAAGATACGGACGAAAATCGCTAACGGAAACAAAATCCGGACAGAAAATACCGCCAAACTCGACGGTTCTGAAAATTGAGAAAGGCGGAATGTGCCTTACCTTGCGTACAGCAAATTCCTGAACAATCTCGTCGGACGAAAACGGCTCCGCGTCGTCCGAAAATCAACTTTTGCAAATTCCACCTCAACTTTCTCTCTCCTCGGCTGATATTTTTATAAATTTTGATTTTCTCTCTCTTCAAAACGACTGATTTCAGCTTTATAATACACAGATCGGCCCTGCCGATCGCCAGATCGTCCCAGGACAATCAGACCAAATTGGATCGTCCTGGACGGTTCCCAGAACTAGTTTCAGGCCGATATTTTGAAAAGTGCCAATCGACCTGGCCGAAGCCTCGATCGGCCTGGACGATGCTTACATAAAAACACCTGGAGCAAATCTGGGCAAATTCTAGAACAGATTCTCAACTGATAGTCCCAGGACGATCCCAGATCATCCTGGACGATCCTGGAGCAGATTTTGATATTACATATTTGAACTATCAAATTTTAGGAATCAATTCTTGCAGACAGTGTCAAACAATTGCATCATAAAAAATTCACGGTAGTAGAGAATGACAAAGTTTTGCATCTTAACTTTGCACGAATATCTAGTACACAAATGGATAAGAGAGTATGGTTATAATATTTATAAGAGACCACATTTTTTTCATAGAAACCCCTAAAAACGATAAAAACCACAAGGCCTGGCTCAGTTTGAATGAATCCACTAGTGTTTGCAATTGATTACAAATGAGGTCATTCCTTAGAAGAAAGGTCTTGGCTTAATGCTACAAATATACATCATATATAATGCATTATATGGGTGGAGTTGAAAGAATCAATGTTGATATATTTGTTTGGTCGACAGGATCATAGTCGGCGAGCGATGTAGGTTGGAAGGATCGTAGTTGGATAACAGTTGTCTAAAGGACCATAGTTAGGTGATAGAGGTTAAAAAGAACACAGTCAGACGATAGTGGTCGGAAGGACCATAATCTAGCAATAGTCGTCATAAAGACCATAGTCAGCCAGCAAAGATAGTCAAAAGGACTGTAGTTGAAGGGTGATGGAAGTTAGAAGGATCGTACTTGAAGAGCGACAGAGGTCACAAGGACCGTAGTTGGCAATGGTGGTTGGAAGGACCATAGTTGGCAGGCGACAAAGGTCTGAGGACCATAATTAGCAAATGACAGAGGGCAGAAAGATCGTAATCAGGCAATGATGGTCAAAAGGACTATAGTCGGGCAACAATGATCGGAAGGATCGTAGTCGGTGATAGAGGTCAGAAGGATCGTTGACAGTCAGTGGTCGGGTGTAAATCCGGCATTAGTTGGTGACCCGACGTATGTCCGACGATAGTTGATGGTTGGGTAGAAATCTGGCAACGGTCCGCGAACAGGCAGAAGTCCAGTGACGATCAACAAACTTGTGGAAGTTTGATGGTGATTGGGAAGAAGTCCGACAATGGTCGACGGACGGGCCAAAGTCTAGCAATGAGGAGAACTCTGACATTGGTTGACAAATGGGCGAAAGTCTGGCAATAAGGAGAACTCTAACTATGCTTGGTAGCAAATAAACTCCCAAATTCTTCCCTTCTCTTCCTCCTTTCTTCTCTTCCTCCTTTCATGTGAATAATGAGGGCTTATTTATAATTTTTAGAGAATGACATTGGTTATAAATATGAGAAGGATCAAGATTAAGATGGAAGTAATTGAATGGACGGTCGATATTAATTCCTTTGATTGTGGACTATTTTTTTTAGCATTTAAATATATTAATGATATCAAAATTCGGTGATCTTGGGCTTGTTGGATTCGTCTCATCGAGCCGCTCGATTTGCCTATAAGCATGTCCCGTTTAGAATTTGTTTGGTAATCCAAATTATGCTTTGAACAATCCAAAAATGCTTTGAGTCTTCAGTTTGGACCTATTTGGGCTCGAATTGAGTTGAATATTGTCATTGTGTTCCTCTTTTTGAGACGTTCAATTCAATTATAAATTTGCTAAAATCAAAGTTTTGATGGTCCTTGATTTTGTAAACTTTCAACTCAATTTTATCTCAAGATAATCTTTAGAGAATATATCAAATATAAACTTAGCTTAACAAAACACCCCTATTAATTTTATTTTCATACACAATAAATCTAAAAATACGACCCAAACATCCTTCTTTTAACCAATAGCCACAAATTCTTTCACACTTTCTTATCAAGTCTCATATGTATTTAAACATTAATTCCAAAAAAAAAAAAACTCACAAATAGTTTACAAAAATTAGCTAAATATAATAGCGAACAATCATAACAAGCAACTTTCAACATTTAACACCTCAAAATTCTATTAAATTACTAAATCCTACTTTGTATCCAAGCATCCCTTCTTTATATAACTAAATTCAAGTAGATAGATTATTTTACAAAATAGAACAAAAATTTGCATTTTGCACCAAAATCCACAATATGGGCCTTTGCATGACTTCACCAAATACTTTCAAATGAATTGAAGAAGCCCATTTTCAAGAAGCCTATTTCAAAACCAAATCATCCTTACAAAAGCTGAAAAACACATAAAATATTACATAGCATAGCACACATAAAAGACTACATAAATAAATGAAAAATCTAATTAAAAAATATCCATTATTAGGCCAGCTGAAGCTTCTCCCTCCGAACAATCTTGAATTTCCCAGTTAGTTCTTGCTGCATTTATAAAGCATTGATTATCAGTTTCTATGATAGAAAAGCAATATTGGATAACATAGAAAGCAATCACAATGTAAAAAAAAGGAAATAGGATAAATTTTTGTGAATTATTTTTCTTTTAATTTAGCCTTTTAATGATTTTTTTAAGAGGTTTAGTGAATAATTCTTCATGGTTTTTCAATTTTAAGGGCCTTTGGAATTAAATACTATAATTAAAATGTAATTAAGCTTCTAGTTATAAACTTCTATCTCTTTTTCATTTATTGACAAATAAGGGTATTTATCTAATTGAATAATTACTAATAGCTCAACTTCAGATTGTTAATTAACATGTTTGACTAATGCACTAATTTAAAAAAAAATAACTGAGCATGATTTATAGGTTTAGGGGATTTGAGGAAACCCTAAACTTAATAGATTTGTAAGTTTAAGTTTTAAAACAAAGATTAAAAAAAAAGTTTAAAAAAAAAATGTAAGAAATGGTCTTCTTAGGGCATCTCCAACCTATAACTTCATTTTTCACGGCAAAGTAACACAAAACTTCAAAATTGCGTGATGATGCACCAATCGAACACCATTTTAGGTTTTCTAGGAAGGTAACGATCACTCTCCCTTTGGCGCGTTTTTCCGGTTGAGAGCAAAAAATGGCGTGAGTGAACAGTGCGACGCCGCACTGTTCACCTGCAATTAAATGGCGGAAATTTTCGCGTTCGGTTGGAGCGACGGAACGACTCCATACACTCGTTTAGCGTTCGGTTGGAGATGACCTTAGTGTTTGTTTCTCCTTTCTCTTCCTGTTGAGTTGGTTATGTTGTTCGGATCTGTCTTTGATATTGGTGTTCGAGCTGATTGTGATTTTTGTCTCCTGCTTGTTTTGTGGTTTTGTGTTTTATTTCTTTACTTTTGTTTTTTTTTTTTTCCTCCTATTCATCCTCTTGTGCAGGTTGATTGAGAGCAATTGTTTGTTGATGTTTCTGTTGGCTAGTGCTCCTGCTGCTATCCTTTTGTTCGTGTTTTCCTTCTATGGTCCTACTTGGCTTTCTATTGGTTTATTTTTTGTCTTTTTATTGTAATAGTTTGAATCATTGGCTCATAAGTTTTAATTCAAATGTTATATTTTTAGAGAGCTAATGATTCTTTTAAAGACTTGTAATCCCTTTTTCAATTAGCGCATAGGTCCCTTAATGAGTTTTAATCCTAAAAAAAAAGTTTAAAATTTTTTAGGCCCACAATTGTTGATACTTAACAAGATACCAATTAAACCAAAAAATTCTACGAAATAAGTCTAACTCATCAATCAAACTGACAGTTCCTCACCAATTCTTATTTGTTTACTGAAAGAGCAATTCTTAAGGTAGATCAAATTAGGCATATGATAGATTTATGATTGATTAGTTGAATCAATCAATCCGTTCCGATTTTTAAATTTATGCATAAGATTTTGAATTTTCTCTTTGCACTGAACTTCACTCTCTCTCTCTCTCTCTCTATATTAATGTCGATATATTTTTTTAAAAAAAATCTGTGTTCTACTGAATTGCATTTTTCAAAGGGTATTTATCTGAGAAAAAATACTACGAGATGAACGAAGAAAATGTATGAAACAGAACAAACAATCCAAAATTCTCACCTTTTTCCACAGATGCGTATGCTCCTCGCAGAACCCAGCAACAATTCCAGCTCTTTTCGCCTCCATATATTCAATACAAAGCCCCTTCTCCAATCCGCAGGAAACATGGAACCCTAATCCACACTTCGGTTCCGAACACTCGATCCCACACCCTCGATTAACACCGCAGAGATAACAATCAATTCCCCACCTCTTCTTAGGAACTCTCGAACAATCAATCCCTTCTCTCCCCAACGGATCTCGAAAGAAAACTTCAGGAACAAGCAACGCACACAGAATATGAGCCCATTTCGATTTCTCTTCCATCGGCTTCACTGCTCCTCCCTTCTTCGGACAAAGACAGCAATCAAAATCCCCTTTTTCTTCTTCTCCCTTCCTCTGGCATCTCAAACAGAACCAATCTCCTTCAGGTATTGAATGGATTAGAGGACTTCCGTAGCAGGAAGCGTGAACCATTAACTCGCAGCCATCACAGAACACGATGGGATCTGTTGGCTCGCCGTCGGTGCTGTGGCATACGGCGCAGAGGACACCGTCGTCTTCCTCTTCGGTATCTTCTTCTGCTTGAAGATTACAGTTTTCGACATTTTCGTTGGCAGAGAATTGGGGTTTGGGAGCCCAGATCCTTTTCTTTGCTGGGAGGCAGATTTGGATGGAGGAGTGGTGGGAATCTAAGCGTTTTTTGGCAGGGAGGCATTTTGAAGGAAGAGGAGATTGAGTAAAAAGCTCTTCTTTGTGTTGATTTTCATTGAGAAACTTGAATCTTTTAGAGGGAGGTAAGTCATGAATGATGCTCTGCATTGAAGAGGATGGACGAGGTTTGCTTCTTAGATTTGAAAAAAAAAAGTTTAGGGTTCGAGATTGGTAAGGGAGAAAGAGCTTGGAGGAGGTGGAGTTTATGAATAAAAACGCGGGAAGAAAGGGATTTGGAAGAGGGGGAAAGCGGGGCCGCGGTGGAGGAGAAGATTTGTTTGAGTTTTTTTATTAAATTTGGGATTTTGGAAGCTTGAAATTAAGCTTTCCCTCGTGGATTTGGAATTTAGTTTTGTTTCATTTTCGCGGGAGCGGGAAAAGATGACCCGGTTAATATCAAAATTTTGGTCAATCAAATTAACTTGTTCCTAATTCCTATTTTTATGAACAAGATTTTATAATATTTATAAAAAACTTATTGTTTGAAGATATGTTAATAAATGATTTGATTTGACAATCCAAATTAAACTCATCTCTAAAAATATAGATTTAGGTTGGCATGATTAATTTTGGGTCAGCTTCAGGTTAGAGATATTGACCCAATTAGCTTTTTATTCGAGTTTTGGTTGACTCGAAACCTGAATTTTAGGGGTGTCAATTTCGGGTCACGGGTCGGGTTCGAATCAAACCCGAAATTGACCCGATACTGTTTTGGGTTCGGGTCGACCCGACCCGTTTCTACAAACGGGTCGATTCTCTGGAACCGAACCCGACCCCCTTCGGTTTCGGGTCAACCCAAACCCACTTGTTTCAGCCGCGGAAGCGGACAGCCAGAGACAGCGGGCAGCACCGTAGCGGTTGTGCACTGGCGCGGCAGCGGAGCAACGGGGTGACGCGGCAACGGGGCAGCGCCGGCAGCGGCGCAGTCAGCCGTTAGGGCACGAGTGAGCGACGCGGTCAGCCGTGGCACGGTGCGCGACGCAGGGCTCGCTCGAATGCGCGACGGGTTCGGGATGGCGCAACGTGGGTTCAGGTTTGTGTTATTCCGGGTCAATTCGGGTCATTTCCGGGTTTCTGAGTCAACTTGAACCAGACCCGGTTTTGCAAACGGTTCGGTTTTCCGGACCCAAAATTGATCCGCTTCGGGTTCGGGTCAACCCAATCCTGAAATTTTTGGGTCGGGTTTTCGGGTCGGGTCCAATATTGACAGCTCTACTGAATTTAATCTAAAATTGACTCGTTTATTATTCAGGTTCAAGTTAAACATGTCATTTTCATGTTAAATAGGTCATTAGTTAAATTGGTCTTGTTGATCTAAAAAATGTATAGGAGACGTATACTAAATAGTTAAAATTGGTGGGGTTTGGGTTACAAGTCAGGTTGGAGATAGAGAGGGAAGCACCATGACACTCTAAACCCCAATTTTATGAGTCAGGTTGTGCAGTTTTCTTTCTCATTTTTTTTTTATGTTTAACTCAAAAGGGTTGCATCCTTAGGTAGGGGTGTCAATTTCGGGAGCGGACAGCATGCGCAGGCGGGGCTCGTGGCGCGTGGCCGCATGCACGCGCGTGGCCGCGTGTCGTCGTGGCCTCGTGGGCACAGCGGGCAGCGGGCAGCATGCGTGGGCGGGAAATCTGAATTTTTTTAAATTAAACAGGTTTTCGGGTCAACCCGGCAACCCGCCGGGTCAACTCAAACCCGACCCGTTTTACAAACGGGTCGAAATCTCTAACCCGAACCCGACCCGGTTCGGGTTCGGGTTGACCCAAACCCAAAATTTTCGGGCGGGTTTTCGAGTCGGGTCAAATGTTGGCAGCTCTATTTTTAGGTGTATTGAAAAGTGTTTTCTTTGTCTGTTTTGAGTGCAAAACAGTGTGAAGAAGTAAAGTGAGATAAAGAGAGAGTGAGAGAAAGATGTATGTTCAACTTCTCTCAAATTTTAATATTTTATAGTGCATTTCTTAGAGTGATGTGATTTGATGATTTTTTCCTAATTTCGGGTTTTTACATGTCAAATCTTGATGTTCATTACCACTGTTTTTATTTTCTTATTTATTTCATTGCATAGTTTTCTTCCCAACAAATCCGAATTGACATCTCTAACTATTGGTGATTCAAACACTGAAACTAAATTTAAAAATTAGAAATAGTTTTTTAACACTAATAAAATTGCAATGAATTGCAGCATTAAAAGAAATTATGTTGTGGTCATTCCTTATCATTTATGTCTTTTACATTTTTGTTTGTGTTGGAATTTGATTGAGATTGCAATGGATGAATATGTGGTGCTGTGATGCACTAAAAATGTTGGTATCAGATTTGAGGTTCTTTAGAAACGCCACTGCATAGTCGGCCTAATGTGTCGATGGCATCATCTCTTGCACCGCGATGATTAGGCTCAATTATGATGCCATATTGAGATTCTAAGCTCAACAACTTAGGCTTCATTTGGGACGGCTTTCTTCATGCTTCTTAAAACGACTTTTTAGTACAAAAATTAAAGTTTTTGATTAGTGGCGACTGATCCTACATAGGAAGATGAACATTATTTTGATTGTAGGACGAATCCTTATGCAGCTGTAGAGAATAGAGGACTAAAGAAAGAACTTGATGCAAATTAAATAGTTTTCAAATTCCTTTTTTTGGTTCTTAGAGATTTAGGCTTCGCTTGGAACAGTTTTCTTACTACTTTGTAAAGCCATATTTTAATACAAAAATCTATTGAAAGTAGGGAAAAAATAGTGGTCAAAAGTTATATCAAACGGAGTTTTAAGCTCCGTTTGATATAACTTTTGACCACTATTTTTTCCCAACTTTCAAGAAATTATTATATTAAAATTTTATTTTTTAAAAAAAAATTAAAATTTTTTTTAAAAAAAAAAAAAAAAAAAAAAGATTGTCCAATATGAAAGCTTAGAGGAATTTTTTTTTGGTTCTCTTCGACTTTCTCTTGTGAATGATTGCTAAGATTTTGGTGGGATCTTCTTTCATTATTCTCATTGGCATGTAAGAAAAGAATTTGATTTATTTTACAACTAATCTTAATTTCTACTCAATGTTTTTTATAATTGAATTATCTATCTCCTTATTAATATTGACCAAACAATGAAAATCATAATTTTTTTAATCAACATGGATGCTTTATTTTTCCATATCATATTTGCATTTGGTTGGAACCAAAATTGTTTAGTGAAAATAGGTTAAATCCTATTTTTATACTAAAAATACTGAAATATTTCAAAGTGACAGTCATGAACAGCTTAGAAGGAACACTTTCCTATCATTTTAATAACAAAATTATCACAACAGTCATAAAATATAAGTCCCGTTCGAGGCTACTCTAATTGATTTTGAATGCTGAAACAATGAGAAAATACCTTCAATTGATCCTCTTGAGGGTGATTTTGACCAAAAAAGGGCATACACATATGAGTTTTAAAGCCATCATATGATAGGGGTGTCAATTCAGATCGACGGGTCGGGTTCGGTCGAACCCGACTTGACCCGGGTGTAAACGGGTCAACCCGAACCCGACCCGTTTAAATAAACAGATCAAAAAATAAACCCGAACCCGACCCGCATGGGTTGTCGGGTTGACCCGACCCGACCCGACCCGCGAACCTATTTAATTCAAAAACTGGGCAATGTCAGGCTAGGCAGCATCGGCGGCACGGCGGGAGTATGGTCGACATCGGCCTGCTTCCTGCAAGCCGCGGAGGTTATGTTAGAAACAGATAGAGCGGCTGGCGGACAGGCGGAGTGACACGGACGGATGCCACTCGACGACTAGCATTTGGCGGAGTGCCGCGGACGCCGAGCAAGAGCGACGCGACTGCCGACTGGCCCGGATAGGCGGCATGATGAGTTGACTGCGATGGACGGACGCGACAGATGAGATAGGTTGATAGCGATGGACAGACATGGGAAAGTCAGGCGGGAATTGAAATTTTGGGATTACAGAATATAAACGGGTCAATTTTGGTCAACCCGCAGGTTTTCGGGTCGAACCCGAACCCAACCCGTTTAACAAACGGGTCGAAAATCCAAACCCAGACCCGACCTGTTTAACAAACCGGTCGACCCAAACCTGAATTTTTCCGGATTGGGTCAAAAATTGACACCCCTTCGTATCTATGGGCTTTAAAATAGATCTTAGGCTTCGTTATAAATGACTTTCTTAGCACAAAAATTTAATGAAAATAGTTAAAAAAAAATATAATATCAAAAAAATTATTTCAAACAAAGCCTTAACTTTTGATAAAAAATTTATCAGATTATTCCAACTCGTTAAAAAAAAAGCCTAAAGAAATGAAAACTTTGAAGCCATACACTCTTATTAAAAACAACAGCAGCAACCAGCCATTCTTACCAATAGCTACAGCACATTACATAACTAGAATTCCCCAACAGCAACAAAGGGAATGAAAATAGGCCACAAACTACATATATAACAAGCTCAATATATCAATTGGCAACAGCTTTATCTTACAAGGATGAGCTAACCGTTTCACCTATCTGACATTTTACCATTTAAATTTAGGCAAATCCCTGCTTGTACCGGCGAAACAGTTCCTCGGTCTGCGCGTTCTTTAAGGCACTGCAGCCAATTATGTACACCCAGATGAGGGCAACGGCGGCGATAATGAGAACAATGTTAGCCTTTCTCCATTCGCTGCGGAGGTTTCCGATCGTCCCGGCTTTGCAAGAGTTGCATCCATAGCAGAGCTGAGTCTGGTCATTGCTCCAGGCATAGCAGTCTGGGTCTGCAGCCACATTGGCAGGGGAAACCCACACTGTAGGATTCACATAGCTATACCCGCAAACAGTTGGTGGCTTACAGCATCCAGACTGAACAAGCACAGAACATGGTCATAGAAGTTGGAAAGTTTTTTAAATATCATATTTTTAGATAATTGAAAGGGAATGAAGATGAGATTGATAAATCTCTATTAAAGATGATTTCTGATACATCCAAGCCAAGGTCAAACATAATATATGATAAATTATAACTGAACAGTACAGAATACATAAAGGTCAATAAGATAGCAAACCCCTATGTCGGATGATGGGAAATGATAATGAACTCAACCAAGATCTCACCAGGATATTACACCTAATTCGACCAACAAATCCTTGTCAACAATTGTGGGTTGCATTGTTAAAAGGATGGTCCTTGCAGATCTAGGATGGATGCTTATTTAAGGAGCCTTTTTTTAAGTTGACCTTAGCTACCAAAGGATTTATGCCATATTAGATGCACCTTATTTCTCACAACTTAATGATTTGGCCATTGGAGAATATACATGCTTAGACCATAACAATAATATAATAGTTTCATTATTTAGGCTAATAAATCGGTTATTAGGCACATGTCTATCCTTACTATTATGAGATATTTGAGTGTGATTATATGAATATGTTTGATCTGAAATTAGCTCTTTGTTAGCGTTGATTTAATTTAAATTTATCATCCTTAGCAAACTTACACAGAGAATGGGGGTGTATCTGCTCTGAGTACAAAGTCACATATTTTTGCTTGAGTTTTTTTTTTCCATTTTTTTATGATAAATCCAAAAATGGTTCAATCTTGAAATTTGAAGATATTTTTATGATAAGATCATCTATGATTGAGATTTACTTTCAATACAGTCGTATCAAGGAATAAATATTTATTATTATGTGGAGAATATATTGCATGAATCCTATCGACAATTATTCATATGGGGTTTTGCTCATGATATTTATCGACTTAATGATCTTCTCGACTCTAATAGATCGCTTGTAGAGCATTAGGTATAGGAAATATTATATATGCATTTGACATTTAAATTTGATTTTCCCAAAATTATGATATATCATGCATTGTATTTAGGGACAGGACTTACATCCTTGATATTTGAGGAAGGCCTAGATAACACTTATGACCTTTCCCTAAGGCAGGATGGCCCAAAAAAAAGAACTCTCTTTAAATTGCACTTTTATTATAAAAGTCCTTATGCAAATGCAGAACAAAATATTTAACCATCATTGTGCATCTAGCCAGTGCTTCTCCATTTGAATAATTCTTAACATGCAGACTTTGTCTAGTGTACTATTGCTTGTAGAGAATTGGATTTAATAGTTGGGTCTTATGGCCTCACCCTTTAAACAGGGTGGCTCATATGCATACTTATCTTAATCTTTTTATATTATAAATTGTGCTCAAGAGTCTTGTCAACCACGCTTGCATGCTTAATTGCGAAGGATCAATCAAAGAGGTCAAATTTATATTTTCTCTATATTTGTGTCATCATTCATTTATAGAGTTTTTAGAGGACCATTCAGGATATTTAGATAAGAAAATAATAGTCATTTATCTCAAATGAGAATCAAAACAATCGAGAATGCTAAAAACCTTCTCTTGAAATATCTATCTTTTTTTTTTTGGTGGTGGGGGGTGCGGGTTTCTAAAACTTTTTTTCTTCCTCTTTATTGCTCTTCTTTTTTCTTTTATATATCTCGAAATTTTGATAGCATTTCTCAATCGTACCTACAAATGTGGTAAGTTATTTGAGTTATTTGTGGCCTACATCTTTAAATTGCACTTTTATTATAAAAGTCCTTATGCAAATGTAGAACAAATTCAAATCAATTGCTTAGTTTGCAAATCATAGATAATATTTTGTAAGGTCTCGTGCTCCTCCATAAAGTTTAGCAAACTAGCACCAAGTATTGGAGTAATTTGATGTTGAATGCTTCGAAGGGGTGGTAATTCCTTCGGGCCACTTGAAGGGTTGGATACTCTACTAATTTTGTAATTTCTTAGGACACTGATAGAAAACACTTGAAGATCTCAAGTGAAACCTAACGATATTGACAAATCAGCGAGAATAATCAACAAGTAGAGGAAAAATTAAAGAAAAAAAGCCCACTTTATTGAGAAAAATCAACTAACACAAGAAAAATAAATAAGATACAAGTGATCCTCAGTTCGAGAGGAGGATTGATTCCTCTCCCGATCCTCTAGAAGCAGCTAGAGCTCGCAGGAAACCTAAACCTAAGAGATTTCAAATTTCAGCCAAATTAAAGATGCCCTAACCCTATGCCCTAACTCATACCTCTCGTTACATCTAAAACAAAGCCCCATCGTCCTTTTCTCCTGTAATTTCGTTTCTGTGAGCTTCTTGAAGTTGTCCCCAGGTCTTACTCCCACAGTCTTCTCCTTCGAAGTCTCCCAAAGAGTACCCGGTGTCGACTCCTTGGGTGCCAGAAAGGTGGTGGTCCTCCTGTTATGACCTCCTGAGCTGCTGCCTTTCATCTCTCTCTCCAAATACCTCTGATCCTCCACCAATTGAACTAGCTCCATAAAATCTCTCAATCATGAGGCCACATTACTCTAATTTCTACCCTGATCTCTAGTGTCAATCCCTTCATGAAATTTCTCTCTAGCACTACCTCAAGAAGGAGGTCCAATCGACTAGCAAGGTAGTCGAATTTCTCTCGATACTCCGTTACTAAACCCTCTTGTGTCAAGGTGAAAAACTGCTCGTAGAAGTCACCTCCCCTGCCAGTATATAAACATTCTACCAAGCAATCATTGAACTCTCTTCATAGCCTCCTTTTCCTCGAAGAGGAGGTGCCCCCCAATCGTCATGCTATTCCCTTCGTGGCTCATACCCAAATCCTTCCTCAAAATCCCCTCTTATTCTTTCAAAATCAGCATCCCGACGATCAAAATCATCTCATCTCTTTACAAATTAAGCACCCTTTCTTGCATAGCCAATGCTCATCTCCACCCTAAAAAGTGGTTCTAGAGGAGGCATTCCGTCTTCTCCCTCAATAATCTCCACTTATGGATTTTTTCTTCCTTTAAACGTGTTAGGGTTCCTACGTCTTTCATGTCTATCGGTAGTTTCCTTTGCTTCTAATGTCGCCAGTTTGGGTTTGGCTTCAAACAATTTCTTCAACATGTCTTCCACCACGGCGAACTTTCCCTTCATCCTTTCATTGATAAATGTGATCTGATTTTGAAAATCAGCAATCTTCTCTTCAAAATCTTCTTTGAGTTGCCCAAGTTCTCACTCCAAAACTTGCACTTTCCTTCCGGCCATTATTTCCTCTTAGATCGATGTGCTCTGACACCAATTAGATAGGAAACACTTAAAGATCTCAAGTGCAACTTAACGATCTTGACAAAATCAGCGGGAATACTAAACATGTAGATGAAAAATCAAGGAAAAACAACAAACTTTATTGATAAAAATCAACTAACGGAAGAAAAACAAACAAGACGCAAGTGATCCTCAATTCGAGAGGAGGATCGAACTCTCTCGATTCTCTAGATGCTACTAAAGCACAAAGGAAATCTAAACCTAAGAGATCTCAAATTTAAGCCAAATTCATGATGCCCTAATCCTAAGAAAACCAACTATTTAATGCATACAATTCAAAAGGAAATCTCTAAACATACCCTACATTCAAATTTCCCTCCTAACTCTCTCAAAAATCCTCATAAATTTCTTCCAAAATCAGCTGTCTCATATCAACAAGTTAGGTGACAGTAGGTAGCGGGATGGAAGTCTGGCGACAGTCGATGATTGAGAGGAAGTTCGGCAATGGTCGATGGCCTGGCACTCTGGCAGTGATAAAGGAGAAGCTTGTTGACAAGAGAGATCTCATATTTCTCTTGATCTCCTCTCTTCTTCCCTTCCACCCTATTCCTCCCTCCTTGCTTCCTCCTCTCCCTTCTCTTCTTTGCTTGGGGTCCCTCTCAATAAAGAATGAGGGGTCTATTTATAATTTTTTGTGGAGTTATATGACCTGTAAATAGGAGAGAGATCAAAGGTACGTTCTGAGTGATTTGAATGGACGACCGATATTGATCCCTTTGATCGTGGACCATTTACTGGGCATTTGAATGTCTTAATGATATCATAATTAGGTAATCTTGGGCTCATTAGGTTCGTCTTTCTAGACATTCAGTTCAACTATAACTTTGTTGAAATTGGAGTTCGAACGTTTCATAATTTAATTTCATAAAATTTCAACTTAATTTTGCCTCGAGATTCGTGCTAGATGAAGATAAATTTTTGATGATATATCAAGAATTATACTATTTTATATTTCTAATACTTCATTATTTATATTATATTTTACCTTGTGTACTGTACGCTGAGGAAGTCAATCTAGGATCTCAGTGCTATTTTTTTTTGGAGGAAATTAAGTGCCTAAAATGTAAATTCAATACCTCAATATCAAATTTTAACAACTATTTCCAAATTTGTTATGCTCATTTTTACAAGATATATCAACTAATATATGATTAAAATGAGTGTTAAATTTCTTAATTTATTTTGAGATAAATATAACAATTAATATTTCTATAATATTTAGTTTTTAAAATATATACCGATTCAATTTTCATAGTTTGTGTCCTTTTGTGTTTTTATTTTTTTGGCACAGTTATCAGCTATTCCCAACCACCGAAGGCACCGACGAAAAGACTGCCCACGATCCCAAACGCCAGGCACGCAGCGCCACCAACTAGTGGCCTTATCCGTAAATTACTCCAAAACAAGGCCCCTTAAAAAAACACAACACACACTGAGTACTGACCTCGAGCTACAGAGCAGCAGATAGATACTTGCCTGAATAGGGGATAGATCGGTACGAAAGAACTGATCGGCGGTGAAATACGCATCATCCCGTGCAAGCTTCCCGCACACATCCGATTGACTAAGACAAGCTCGGATCCGAACCCAATGCCCATCATCACCGACGTAATGCCGAAGCCAATCGGAGAATCCAGCGAGGCGATACTCTTTATACCCGCGATCAGGAACGTCATACTCGCCATCGTTGTGGGTGACGACAAAGGAGAAGACGACGAGAGCGAGGAGGAGAACGATTAGGGTTGCCATGGAGAAGAGGTAGGCGGCTAGGAGGCACTGGTGGTTCCAGTAAGCGCCCACAAAACCGGCGAGGGAGACTAGGAGGATGAGAACGCCGAGGATGATGACGGGCCATCGGACTAGACGGATGCACTCGCTATCGGGCTTGGAGGCGAGCCAGATCCCGGAGGCGATGATGGGAATCGAACAAAGGAGGGCGATGAAGTTGAGGATTGCGATGATGTTGTTGCTTACGCCCATTAGGGAAGGGACGGGGAAGACGATCGGGGAGTGGAGATGGGAATCGGGTACTTTGTGTGGAGGAAGTAGGGAAAGGTTCGCTTTGTCTGGGTTTCTTTCCTCAGTGGGAGTGGGAATTACTGGGGAGGTTGGATTCTTATTTATCTGTTAAAGAAACCGCGAGTAAGTTTGAAATGAGAGATTGGAGAAATTGGTCGGAGATAGAAAAGTAAAAAAATTGCATTATAAATTATAGGGATTTTTACATACCTAATATTCAAAATACTTCTATTTACACATTTCACACCCAAACTTAACTTTTTGCTGTTTTACACCTAAAAGTCCTCCGGTTAAATGAGCCTCACTGAACTGCTTCGTCCTCACTGTGCTTCGCCCCCTCACCAAACTGCTTCACCCTCACTCGTTCGGATCTCATTTTTCTCAGCAAGGTATTTTCTCCTCCGTTGAGATTTCAATATCTCTTTTTCCTCTTCGGGACTTCTGCATTTTGCTTGGAACGGTTTTCAGCCTCCACTCCTCCATAAGTTGCATAGGTATGCTTCTCCATTTCTAAATCTAGGTTTTATGTTTTCAACAAATATCTGCTTTTTTTTTTTGTCTTATCTATTCGCATACAGAGCATTTAGTTTTCAGTCAAGGAATTGTGGGTGCATTGTTTTTTTCTTAGCCTACTGATTCTGTAGCAGTTTTCTAGTTATCAGCTCACTATTATAAAATGAAGTCATAATCAATTTTAGTTCCATAGTTTTTATTGTTGATGGTGATATTCTCCAGTAGTTGTTTAGTGTAAACTTCTCAAGCCTTCATTCACTATATTGTGTTTGTATATGTAGAGATGGACAATAGGTGTTTGATGAAATGTCAAGGTGTATTTCTCCAAATGAATGGAATGCAAAGGCAATTGTTTTACTTCTCATGACTTCATTTTTTGAAGGTGTATTTTGTGAAGGCAATTTACAAGGCAATCTACAATGAGTTTGGGTTCCTCGGCAATGCCAATATGAAATTTTATTAATCAAATATATTGTCATTGCAACTTATAATGTACAATATTTACGTCTTACCAATCTCGTAGTAGAGGAAGAAAATTCTACAGATGCTCCCAGAGTAGAACATAAGGCAATTGCCATTATTTTTTATGGTGTGCTGAAGTTAATGAATTTCCGTATGATAGCAATTTCGGAAGTTCAAATGGTGATGAAAGCAGTTCAACACCAATAGCTTCAATTAGAGCCGAGGTGTTACAAATAAAAATCTTTTTGGTCATAGTGATTGTTGTTAATGTTATTGTAGCATTCACTGTAAATAAATATCGTTGTGTATAAATGTCAGTTTGAGTTAATGTAACTTTTTTGTCAATCAATGCTACCTTAAGTTCAGTATGCTTTTGAAAAGAATTAGAGATTTGTGCCATTTTTTGTCTTATCTATTTGCATAAAGAGAATTTAGTTTCCAATCAAGGAATGTGGATGCGTTGTTTCTTTCCTAGCCTATTGATTCTATAGAAGTTTTCAACTTATCAGTTCACTCCTGATTACTAGAATCGGATGCATTTTAGCACAATTAACAATCAACAAAGATTCGCACATGTAGCAAATCACACATGTAGCAATAATATAGCAGGTAGAACCTTGAAATATGAAACATGTATTAGAGGTAGAAGGAGGCCTCTGATTCTGTAGAACTTTTCTAGTTATCAGTTCACTACTAATACGGTTTGAACCGTACAATTTTCAGTTCACTAAATGTCATTTTTTGAACCATACAGTTTTCTAGTTAGCGTTCACTGTATTCATCCAAAAAACCGTATGGTTCAAATTGTAATAAAAAAAGCAACAATTCCAATTGTAATCATGCAAAAAATAATTAGAACAAAAAAATTTTATGGTTCCGATTGTAATCATCCAAAACACTGTAATCATTACAAAAAAAAAAAACTGCTTGTACTAGGCATTAGTTTAGCAACCCAAAAACTGTAATCAATCCAAGCTGAACAAAACCACCAAATCAATCCAGAAAGCTGCAGGAGCTTGGCCGGCATATATTCAATTTTGGTCGAGCATTGCTTGTACTAGGCATCAGTTTATCAGAACCAATCTCGTTACCTCCTACATTTAAAGGATTCTTACAACTGCTTCTATGATGGCCCCATAAGTTACAACGACTACACTTATGTCCAAGTTTTCTTTTATTTCCTATCTCTAAGAAATTCTTAATTCGCCTTTTCTTGGGTCTACCACACGGTCGAAGTGAAGCTGGCGTAGTCACTAGCTCACCATCACTAATTGCATCCCACTATTCCTTTACAGGTAGTGTTGTGATTGCACCATCATATGCCATTTTGTATATAATCATAAAAATTTGAAAGTAACTTAAGATCACTAGTTAATCAATGCATACAATGAAGCTAACAAAGGAAAGTAACATACCTATATATGTAGTAGTGATCATCAACATACATATGTCATAAGATATGTTGTATCGTTCCAATGAATGCAACACTGTGTATACAGGGTAGACCACTTAATTTCCAGAATCCACAACTGTAATCCTTCTATTCTATGTCAACCTCTTGCCTTTCATGAAGTCCCTCAACTTCAGCTTTGCTTAAAGTCGATTGACAAATTATAAATTAATATTTTCTTGTTGTTATATCTCTAATGTACTCTTCCACCTGGGGACTAGTTGACCTCTCCAAGAGGCACTTTGAATCTTTCTATGTGAGCGTTGTTCCATAAGCTTTGCCCTAATCATGTCTACCAAATCAATAATGGGTTTATTTCTTGCTTCTTTAACCCATGAATTAAAAGACTGGGACATCTTGTTCGTATTGTAGTAATTTTTATGTGCTTTGAGAATGTCACCTTCGACCACTTGCACGATAACACATTCAAGTAAGAGTAAAGTTTTGGACTGATTTTGAAGATCTCGTCAACTTTTTTATACAAATCATGTAGCTCGTTAGTGTTTGCGACCATCCATAACAAATTCTGAAGTTTGTTTCCATCTTCACAGTGAAAGAGTTTTTTAATATATGTGACTTATACACACTCTATGTTCGACATTTGAGAAAATAAGCTTTAGAGCTTCATCAAGGCCCTTCTCCATGTTGGATATGAAAGCTAATTGTTCAATTTCACAACCAAAACTTACCGCTGTTGACCTCGTTTTTAGCCTGATTTGCTCTTTAGCATATTTGATCGATTCGATCGGGCCTCGTCGGGCTCGATTTAAGTCGAATCGGCATGGATTTGAGTTTGATTTATTTTTATCCTATTTTATTGAATTAATTTTTGGTCGAGTCGAGGCGAGCTCGAGTTGACCCGAATCGAACCGGACTTGACTCAATTTTGCACCTGATTTCAGTCCCTTGAGTTCTAGTCCAGTTAGGTCCTAATCAAGATTTGATTGAATTTCCAAACCGGTTTGAATCCCACCGTTGGATCAAGGAATTTGATTGGATGGCTCTGATCTACTCTCTCCCTTGGTGCCCTAATTGAGGCCAAAAGCCTCCATCTCATACACTCTCGGTTCGGACCAGACAAGAGGAGGCGGCAGGAGCTCTCTTGCTCTCCCACACACCCGATCACTGACGCCGCTCTCCCTCTCTCAAAATGCTCTCTGCATTCGCTCAGGCCGAAACCCTGTCCCGACACCCTCTCTCGCGTGAAAGCCGAAGCTCTCCCTTCCGACGCCGTCCAGCCCTGGCAGCCGGCCTTCTCACGCAGTCTCCCCGACCATTCGCGAACCCCTGAACTCCTCCCTCACAGTTGGAAGAACCCCCGAGCCGCCCCTCTCTGTTCGCAAGGAGCCCTCACTCCGCCTCCTCCCAGTTCGTGAAAGGCCCCAGGCCCAGTCGTCACCTCTCAGTTCGCGAAACCCCCCAGATCCGAACGATCCCATTCTCCCTCCCTTTCTTACTTGCAAGAGAACCAAAGATCTAAGAGGGAGAGAGGCCGAGAGCGTGTGAGAGCGAAAGAACATCTTTCTTGTGCGATTCAGAGAAGTAGATCAACATTGCTTCTGGTAATCCTCTTCTCTATTTTCCCCATCATCCTCTTCTTCGTTCATCTTCTTGCATCTACATCTCCATTAATCTTCTTCCCCTTCTCTATTTGGCAAAAGAAGTGATGGGGATTCTATTTTAAGAGAGAATAATGCTAGCATGTTCTTTCTGAAATGTTGAAATCAAGAACCATTGTTTGAAGTTTCCTTTTAGTTTTCTTTGCATCAAGATGGCATCTATGTATGAAGATAACGTTGAGTTTATCTTTCTTTCTTTCAGCTTTAAGTAATAATATGATGCTTTTGTTGAGATTATTTCTCTACTTTAAGGCTTTGGGAGTTTTAAGGATTCTTGATTTCTTGTGCTATATTCCTGTACAGTAAATAAGAGGTGTGATCATGAAGAATTTTTTTTTTAATTTTCTTGACATAAATTGTTCTCCTCTGCCGAGTAAAGAATAATCTCTATTTTGATGTCTTGATCGGATTTGAATATGTTCGACTACCCTCTAACCAAGTAACAGTTCCACCCCTAGTGTTCAGGTAGATCTCCAGGATTCTTTAAGCCTATGTCCTCTCTTAAATTCAAGCTAAGGTATAAGTTACATCTCATGTAAAAAGTTAGGACATATATAGATTTTTGGGAGTGACATGCCCTGTCAATATGACTAAAATTTAATGCACTATATTGAACGAACTATATCGAGTCCCCATATTATAGGTCATTCTTTTAGCATCTAAATACCATAATGATATCATAATTAGAAGATTTTGGCTCATTAGATTCAACTCGGTGAGATACTCAATTTGATTATATGCATGTGAGATTTATGGATAATTGGTTCTAGTAATTAATGTGCTACAATTTTGTATTACGCTTCAAGTGCTTGATATGAACTCTTTGAGACTCGGAGCGAATCACTTTTAGTGTCACTGGTTCGTGTTATATAAGTAAAAATGAGTCTTCTTTGGATTTTTTTTCCCCTTTTTTTTACTCTATTCTAATAAGAAAATTATTTTATGGGCTTAAATTTTGAAAATAATTTAAAATGTTTCAAATTTCACTTAGAATTTTTGCTTATTCTCCTCAAGTAGATTTATAAGTACCCCCCTTGTGT